ATATATATATATATATATATCCTTCCTCAAAATGTGCTTGCCTGGCTCCATTCCTCATAATAATTTCCCACCCATCGTATTGCTAGAGCCTCATGACCAGCCTCACTGACCTAGGTCTCTCCTGTTCCTGCTTCCTGAAGGATGATTTCGATCATGCTCTTCTCAGATAAAAATGCTTTCGGGTTACCTTTATTACTGACCCAACAAACTCAAATGCTAAGTTTAGCATTCCCCTCACCACCCCCATAACAAGGAAAAAAAATCACTTTTTCTGTTTGTAAAAGTAACATGTATTCATTGTAAGCAATCAAATAAGGTCAGGCAAGACATAAAGGTGTGAAAAAGAAAGTGGCAATCCCTTGTAATTTTCCCTCCCAGAGAGAGAGGTGTCATTAATCAGTTTGTTTTGTTGAGCTTTCAAAATCCCACATGGCCCACTGGATTCACCATGGCTGTCCGTCCCCAATGCCTCTGGTCAGGCCCCGTTCCTCAAGCCCCACAAGCTGACTCCTACTTCTGGGGCTTTGCTGGTGGTGTTCAGTCCTCTGCAATGGCCCCCATCTTCCCCTCCCCCCATCCACTTCATCCCTAGCTTTGAAAATCTTTTGAAAGCACAAGTTCTCCTTGCTGCATGGAGCCTTCCAAGCCTTACCAATGTACAGAGTATGTACTCTGTGCCACATGATTCAACCATAAAACTGTCTCCTGCTGGTGTGACCCCATCTCTCCTAGATCATATACTGTCAGGGAACCAGGATTACACCTTATGCTTTCTGAAGCCTCATGATATGGTGGGCAATCACAAATGTCTGTCTAATAAATACTTATGAAAAAATAAATGGTTGAGTAGCTTCCTTCTAATTTAGTGAAATGTCTTAATTCTTTGGAGACTACATTTAATTTTTTATAGGTTACAGACCTATAGGCTAGTGAAAATTTACATGGATATAGTGGAAAGGCCTTTTAAGCTCCCTACATCTATTTCCAGAATACCTATGACATTTGCGTGCCTATTAAGGCAGGGATTTTCCTTATGAGAACCCTTTGGTTCCAGCACAGAGTGGATGAGTTGCTGGGGCATCATTTACTTCTTGCTCACTAAACTGTCCCCCCTTCTGTAATCAGTCCATCAAGTTCACACAATCGTGGCACCTAGAATGATGATACGTCCATAAATCAGTGCTCAAACTGCTGGTTGTTGCTTAAGTGCCCAGGTGATGAATGTCCTTCTGCACCTGCTTGGTGCAGAATATTTTGATTGATTTAACAAAGGTTCCAATTCAGTCAAGGGCCGTGAAACGCTCCACAGCGTTGAGGAACAACATCCCAGGACTCCAAGCAAGAGCCCATGTGAAAAAGAAACAGCGAAACATAAGCAGGGATGGAGGTAGGTTTGCTGCCCCCTCAGCCAATGCTTATTTTTGGACTAAAAGATAATACATGTGGAAGTTGCAAATTGCCAACCAACAAGGGTTGCAGATTCGCACTCACCTCTCATCGCATTTAATCAGAATCACGCTGTCTGTTCCAATCCCCAGAGCTGCAGCTCCCTTCTTGAGAGAAAAATGACTCTAAAAAAAAACAACATTTATAATTAGTTGTGTGTAAATTCAAGATCCATTCCCTCAGCTGTTTTTTTTTTCTCCTTTTATTTTTAATCTCCCTCAAAAACCTCGCTTGCTGAGAGAAGATGGCATCCTTCCATTGAGGTTTGTTTTTTTAACCTGTGGTGAAAGGCACATAACATAGAATTTACCACCGTAACCATTTGTAAGTATACAGTTCAGCGGCCTTAGGTACATTTATGTAGCTGTGCAACCATCATAAACCATCCACCTCCGGAATTCCTTTCATCTTGCAAAAGTGAAATTCTGTACCCATTACACAATAATTCCTCATTCCTCCCTCCCTCAGCCCCTGGCAACCACCACTGTACTTTCTGTCTCTATGAATTTGACTACCTTTGGTGTCTCATGTAAGTGGAACCATATAGTATTTGTTAGTTTGTGACTGGCCTATTTCACTCAGCATAGTCGTCCTCAAGTTTCATCCATGTTGCAGCCTGTGCCAGAGTCTCCTTGTCTGTCCATTCATCCATCAGTGGATACTTGGGTTGCTTCCACCATTTGGCCATTGGGGATAATGGTGCTATGAACATATGTGTACAAATATCCCTTTGAGCCCTGCTTTTAATTCTTTTGGGTATAAACCCAGAAATGGAATTGCTGGGTCAATGGTAATTCTATTTTTGAGGAATTGCCATACTATTTTTCATAGCAGCTGCCCCATTTTACATCCCCACCAGCAGTTCCCAATGGTTCCAACTTCTCCCCAAACTTGCCAGTAGTTGTTATTTTCTGTTTTTTGGTAATAGTCATTCAAATGGGGGGGAGCGGTATCTCATTATAGGTTTCAATTTGTATTTCCTTAATGATTACAGATGTTGAATGTTTTGTGTGCTTATTGGCACACATTGTACATTGTCTTTAAAGAAATGCATATGCCAGTCTTTTGCCCATTTTTGAACAGGTTGTTTTGTGGTGGTTGTTGTTGAATTCATTCGAGTTTTTCTTCTTTCTTTCTTTCTTTCTCTCTCTCTCTCTTTCTTCTTTTTTTTTTTTTTTTTTTTTTTTTTTTTTTTTTTTTTAGAGAGAGAGAGAACATGGGCAAGCAGGGGAGGGGCAGAGGGAAAGAAGGAGAGAGAGAATCCCAAGCAGGCTCCATACCTAGCACAGAGCCCAACATAGGGCTCGATATCATGACTATGAGATCATGACCTGAGCCAAAATCAAGTCAGACACTCAACCAACTGAGCCACCCAGGGGCCCCTCACTTGAGTTTCTGAGTGAAGATAATAAGACCCTGGAAATTATAAATGGACCTGCTACCCCAATAGACAATAATCCAAACCAATTTTACATATAAGGCATAAAAACAAGTCAACTGACTCCAGGAACTATGTACAATATGGCTTCCAGGCTTATATTTTCCTACCAAGAGATTACACTCAGTGTCTCTCAAGTTCAGTGAAATTGTGGGCACTCAAGAGAAGAAGTTGGCCTTAAATCCAGCACTCTTTACCCCAGACTTGGCGCAGGAACTAGTTGCTGTGTAGGCGACCTCTCATCCTGAGGCAGGAGCAAGGAAAAAGCATCAGTCACTGGCTTGAGGAGGATAGTGTGCAGAAAAGGCCACACTGACAAGCCACTGCCAGATCTTTGTTTGTGCTTTTGGTTATTGATCGAGGGTAGGATTCTGAATCTCAATGGCTGTAATCACAGGGCAATTTGGAAAACTGAGAGAGGCTAACCTAAGCCCAGCTGTATGGCATCTGCCCAGCAGCCTCTTACTATTAACTACACATCATTAAGCTGTCCGAAAGGAGAGCTGCTTCCTCAATTTACATCTCCAAAGGGTTGCTGACTGGAATTTTAAGTTAGAGTTTGGAGTGTACTCTCTCTGAATGCCCACTTTTGACTCATCTGAATTCTTATATATGCAGCATAGGAACTATTAACATATATATTTTTAGGGGGTGTGTCTAATAAGCAAGAAGCAATCACATTGATAACAGCAGCAAATAATGTAAACCAATAAATGAGGCCCTGGACAGAGGAGTTTAAAAGGCCCAGTGTACCCAAGGAGTAATGACAAAGGGCCATTAACCTCATTTGACAATCAGAAAGACAAAGTAGACCGTTACCAAGATACCTGGGAACTAGGTTAGTAGTAGTCGTTACCAAGATACCTGGGAACTAGGAGAGAAAGCTTAACTGGGTTTGTAAAGATGCATGACTCCCCCAACAACACAAAAAAGTGTTCTCTCTTGCATCGTTAGCAGATCCCCGGGTGACCCCCAGAAGAAAGAGCTCAGGGGGAAATGGCACAGAACAGAGGGACCAGATGCCCACTGAGCAAGCACAAGCCACTCAAATGAAGCCCCTCAGTGAAGGAGCTCCTAAGCACTGTTAAAACCAAACACAAATGGTGACCAGACTTGAAAATTTCCTGAGCAGACAATCAGTTTAGTCCTACAAGCAGAGCTTAATTTAGCTTATTTTGCATGACAAGTGAGGCTAACAACTCGGGTCACATCTTGCTTCTGCCTCTGAAAATCATAACAGAAACTTAAATTGTTCCCCCAAATTGATATGAGGTAACCACTAAGCAATGCTCTTTCATTTCAGAGAATTCTAATACTGTTCCCAGTCACTGTGAAGAGTCAACAGTCACTGCTGCCACACTATATAAACTGCTTGTAACAATATACTCGGAGTCTCATACCCTCTTTTGTTTTGAGCGCTCTGGGTTTGCAAAGTCTCTTTTTGGTGTGTGCACAATAAACTTTCACTAATTACTACTACCTCAGTGATTCCTTGGTTTTACTTTTGTTTTTGTTTTTCCTAAACCTTTGATAGTACTAAACTGCCAAATGGCAAATTGGGGCTAAGTAAGAGATCTGGTGCACCTGGTCAATGAGAGGAAGTAGTCTTGTCTGTTTTTTAATGAGAAAAAATAGGGATTCTCAAATGAGGGGCAATTACCTAGGATAATTGATCACTCTAGCAAATGCCACACACTTAAAGAAAAAAACACATGCCCAAATAGAAGGCTTCAAGATGGGGAATGAAAAGGGATATGAGGCATGAAAAAGAAGATTAGGTACCGAACACTGAGCCTGTTTACATTTTCAGGAAAGAGAGCAGGGAAATCACTAGATGTTATCCACAAATAGCAAGGGACCATGGAGAGCAAGGAGCCAAAGGAAAAAAAAAGACACTACCTAATGAGGAAGAAACAGTGAAAACAGCTTAAATGTCACATCTCTGTGCTGGTGAGAACACATGGGGAGTCATTTTTAATCCTTGGCACCATGTTTAATGGACCTACTTGTTGATGAACCACAGCAGAGCAGCATGCTGGGAGCTGAGGAGCTCAGAAACCAGGTGTTTGAAGAGAGCTCAGAGGATGCTTGTTCATGGGCAGAGGGCAACCAGGACATGTGGCATGGGTGGCCTTCATATCTGAAGGGTTGTGTCAAGGTAAGAGGAAAGGGACAGATGGTTCTGGGTGGCTTCAGAAGGTAAAGCTGTGAACAAAAATTGAAAGCTACAAGGATTCGGATGTGTCCCCAAATCATCAAGACTCTTGTGATGATCAGTCATTCATCAACAGAATGGCTGGGGAATGAGTTAATGAATATCCCCCATATCTCCTCCACCCTGATCTTGGAAAAATAATAGACTTGCTAGAATCTAGGGCTTATTTAGAACTATATCATATTTCTATTTGGGTAATAGATATTAAAACCCATCTGATTTTTATTTTTTTACAAAGTGAAAATCCAAGATTGATGGGGGATTAACTTCTCTATCCTTTATAAAAAAATCACAAGTAATCTAGATACAGGCTACATGATTCAGCTGACATTTAAAATATGTGCAAATAGGCGGGCCTGGGTGGCTCAGTCAGTTAAGCGTCCAACTCTTGATTTCAGCTCAGGTCATGATCTTGGTGTTCATGAGATTGAGCCCCACATAGGGCTCTGCACTGGGTGTGGAGCCTGCTTAAAATTCTCTGTCCCTCTGCCCCATTCCTGCTCATGTGCACTCATGCATACTCTCTCTCTCTCAAAACAAAATAAAATAAAATAAATAAAATATGTGCAAGTAACCATGGGGTTGTATAGTTATAAAATAATTGTAATAAAAAAAATAAGCCGGCTTTCTGGGCTTGGGTAGGATAAGATTATCCAGAGTAAGAATGCGTGGGGTGAGAGCCCACAGGCTGGGGCAGGGGCATGAGCTCCATCATTCCATCTAGCCCTATGACTAGAGGGTACGCATCAGCTCCTTCTTTCAGTAATGGGGACAATAAATCTTTTCTGTCTTTAGGGATGGTGGGAGAATAAGGTGAATAGGGAAAAGCTCTGAGACAAACCACTTCAGTCTCTTGACATGCTGGTTTCTCTCCCTCTATTACAATTTAGATAAGCAGCTTGGAAACCTGATTATAACTATGTCAAGCCATTGTTGGTCACATCCAAATTTTTAACGGAGACTCATATTCAACTACTTAGTGGACCACAGGGCCTCAGGGAAAACTTCTGCTAAGCTCACGGACACAAAAATTTTAAAACAGCCCTCAGTCCCCTGCTACCTCCCCTATTTCATCACCTGCCTTGCCTCCTCTTGCTCTTTCTACTGCTAGCACTGGTCTTCTTAGTCTTCTGTGAGCTCACGAAGCTTGTTCTTGCCTCTCAGCCTTTGTATTTGCCATTCCATTTCTTGGGCAATCCTTCCCTCAGACATTTATATGGCTCCCTCCCTCATTCGATGTAGATCTCTGCTATATATCACCTCCACAAAGACCTTTTATGACCATCTTGTAAAACAGCCCACTACTGCCCCATTCTCTTGTCAGCATGTGGCATTAAAGCAAATATTTATTAGTTTACTATCTGTCCCCTACTAGAACACAGGTTACATGAGGGCAAGGACTTTGCTGTAGTATATAGTTAACACGGATTTATCAAATTTGACCATATGCTCAGAGAACAAGTCCAGAAAAA